CCTAATTGTGAAGATTTCATCATCAAACGTCATCAATAAAAAAGTAATCTAGACAATGTCGCAAAGTCACACAAAAGATGCCCCATGTTGTACACTCATATATGTAAATATCAAGCCTTTTGTCTAATTCCTTGCACTGGAGAATGTTATCTCATATTTGTAAAAGGGTACAATGCTTGGGTATACTTCATCTTAGGTAAGGTCAAGGTCCTTATTTTACCTATTTTCAATCTTGATACTTTGTCAAAGATGTATAACTCTAATCATAAAGAGTTTTTAATCCAGTTGATATTCAAAGAACTGCAAGATTACAAATTAATTCAATGCTCATAATCTTAAAAGCAACACAAATTTATTTATTACAAAAAGGCAAAGAAAGGAAAAAACATGTTCAAACAATATACTGAAAATGAAAAGTACTATAATAATAGATAACAACTTTCACTTATTTATCTAAAATGCTCCATCATTTCCTATAATGTTGGGTGTGTAATCGGACCAGGATCCTTGTCCTCATTTCCCCTATTTCTTGATCATCTTTTGTGTCAACTTCTTTGGATAAACTTTTAGATGCACAAATCTCTCTCTCCTCCTGAGCAGTCTCCATCATCATCTTTTTCTTCTCCGACTGAAAATTGGGCTCAATTTTAGATCCAGAACAACTTTCCTTGGTGATGACAGTTTTGTCGTGTTTCTAAATACTCATTGTAGCTACGATTGGGGTAGTATTCACCAGACTTCTTAAATTGCCCCCTGCCTCACTTTTTTTCAGAAAATCTGATATAAGTGTCTGAGGTGTCTTCTAGGTTACATCTACCCCATTCTTTCTTAGACCTATGGGCCAATCTCAAATTACCTTTCCTTTCATTTCTTCATTTCTCATATCTTTCTCATTCTTTAGCATCAGAGGAGTATCGAGAGTTAAATCTACCATACATACTTCACCTTCCTTAGTTTTACCCTTTTCCCTTTTAATGTCCTATGTTGTATGAACTTCACTTGTTTTGACACTATCAACTTCATTTTTAGGATTGAATCTGATTGTCTGATCAACATGGATTGACTGTTAACATCCACTTTTATGAATTTATGAACCAAAAGGTCTTGAACTCGTCGTTTGAAGTTACCACAATTCTCGATGGAATGTCATTGGATTCCAACATGATATTCACAAAAGACTTTCTCATTATACCATCTCGAGTAAGGAGGCAATAAAGGCTTAGTCTGACATGGGGCAATAAGTTGGGCTTTGAGTAACTCAGGATATAACTTGCTGCACGAAAGTGAAGAAAACTTGGGTAGAATTTCCCCTGACATCATTGTCTCCTTATAATTGTTTACTTTGCTTTCTTGAAGACCTTATGACTGATGACCAAAATGTTTTCTTTGAATGTTTGATTCTAGACCAACATCACGAGAAAGACAATAATTTGAAAAATTCTCTTTCTCAACCAGTTTTGAGTTTTTAGGAGCTTAGGTTTCCCATATTCAAAATATAACAACCCTTATATTATAAGATCTTGGACTTTTAATCTCATAATTATGCAATTTTATGTACATTGAATGAAATCTCTAGAATGATAATTACATAAATCTTTGACATCTTGCCAATCTGGATGCAAATAAGTACTAGGAGAAATGGGTGTTACAAGGCCACTTTCTAAGAGAAAGGGTAACAAGTCTGAATATGAGATTGAAATTGGAATGAGATGTCTCCTCTTTTTTCCTTCTTGCTCTTTTTATCCTTTTTCAATGGTACTTGGTCCTCTTCCATGCTTATTTTCTTTTACGCCAGCTCAACTGATTTTTGGAGTTGCATTTGATTCTCACGTTCTTCTACAAGTTCCTGATTATTTGTCCTTCTTGTTTTGGTTACAACACCAACGTTCATATTTTCATTCAAATCCTTCGTAACTGGATTCTCTAAGGGCTTTTCTCCATGAATCACAATATTCACCATGTCCATTAATTTGATTATTTGTTCTCTTGAGTCATCCTGGAACTTTTTTGCTTGATCAGTCATTTCTTGTTGAATCTTGATAAGTTACTCTTGGAGTTTCTCAATTCTACTAACCCTTGCTAAAATCTCATTCATGGTTCTTATAATTCTCTAGAAAGACCAAGTTAACTCCAATTTGATTTCGAAAATTCTGTCATGAAATCCCCCACGGATTATTCCTATATTTTCATGATTTAATGCATGTAAAATAGTTTGAAACAAAATGCAAATGCATGATGTAAGGTTGAAACTATAAATATAATTATGCAAAGATGCAAATGCAAATGCAAAGATGTGAATGTAAAATGAAAATGTAAAGATGTAAATGTAAAATGAAAATGTAAAGATACAAATGCAGATGCAAAAATGTTGATCCCAACGATGGATATCGTAAAACAATTTTCACCAGTGATAAAAGCTTTCACATTACAAGATAGTTCGTTTTACAGACATGCCTTCGCTTATATGGTTGAGTATGAAGTGGATCGATGCTTTGTCTTGGATCTTCTTCCTTGAAAATGATGCCCTTCAATGCTCTGTAAACTAACTACGTTAATGCCTCGGAGATGCTGAAGTTAGTACGTCGCTCCTTGATGACTAGTTATGAGATGATCGTATATAAGAATCTATTGTTAGATTACTTCTTAGATCAAAGGATCAACTTTCTAATCTCAAATGTTGCACGATCTTCGAACAAGTCTCATTCTGGTACTCTGGACTTATCTTAGCCCTCAGCGCATGTCTGTGTACGCAACTGCTTGATTGCTTTTTTTATCTCTTCTTATGCAAAATTTCCACTTGAGTATCCCCTTGAGAATCAACATTTTCGCATTATGTTATGACGATGCAACGTAAAAATGATGAAAAATGACACAAACAAAAGAAATAAGTTAGTGTATACAAACAAAAGAAAAGAAATTAGTTAGTACATGTAAGATAATCGATACAGATAAAAATGTTATTCAAAGATGAATATAATACCTACCCCATCATGGTATCTACCCAAACATGCTTTAATTAAATAACATTCCTACCCGGACATGTTTTCTACCCACAATGATTATTTTCAAGGAAATGATCATAACCGCATGATATCTAGTTCGCATGCTATTATTTAACCTAATTTAAAGAAAAAAGGAAACGTTCAGAAACGCTCCTTCTTTGTGTACACTTAATTTAGGTACCTACTGACGGACAGAGGTTCGATATGACTATACATATGGTGACCGTTCTACGGTTTACTATTTTGCATGGTTTCGGCTCTATGAGAAAAAAGGTACTCGAATTATCCTTGATGTTGGTGCCCCCTTGGGATGCCAAACCCTCGATCCTCACCCATTACAGGTTTCGAGCGGAACGAGTTCAATTTGAGGGGATACATTCCCTTATGCATATGCAGAGAATAAATTCCCTCGAAGACATAAGGTATATGAATCCCGAAGGTTACTTGCTAGGCCTATATGAAGAATAAATTCCCACGAAGGCGTCGCTTTCACCCCACTTAGAAAGGGTTCAGAGCTTGGGTATAAAGCTTATGTTATGCAAATGTGCTTGATGTGTGTGAGGAGGAACATTCAACCCTTTGACTAAAAAAACGAAACCTCTCGACAAAAACTTTGATAGATCTAAAAGCAAAAATTCAAATGTTAGGATGACAATAAAAATAATGAAGCAATTAAAAACTTCAATAAAATGATCATAAGTTAACTAAAGAATCAACTCATAATTTCCACCCTAACGACACTTTGTAAACGACTTATAGCCTGACTCTCTAAAAAAGGTCCCTAGCAGAGTCGCCAACCTGTCATAACCATTTTTCTGGTGGAACAATTATTTATTGTTTTTAAAAACATTTACGACTTTTATTTTGGAAAATCCGGTGATTTGGAATAAATTTGGATTAAATTGAAAAGAGTCGCCATCAATATTTGGGTTAGGTAGGTCGAATACCTAAAAACATCTTTTAAAACAATTTTAAGAAAAATCATTTTTTAAAGACAAAATTAGTCTACGTTACCAGAAGTTCATTTTAAAGGGTTCATGAGTCGATTACGCGTGGGGAATGATTAATACCCCTACAACGCCCAAAATTGGTATTGTTTCGCTTACACGTTGTCGTAATGCTTGAAATAATGAATTTGCATCGACAATTAAAATATGATCAATTTATCAAAATTAATTAATTTGTTTCAAATTAATCAATTAATAAAAAAAACATTCAACATTCTTTAAATTGAAAAGAAATCTCGACATTAGCAATCCCTTGTCGGGAAAGTTATTTCATCTATTTCTTATTCAAATTTGAAAATTTCATCCTCGTTGATTTTTTTAATTCAAATCGAATATAAATTGACTATTATCTTTTGCATAAAATAATATAAACAACTCTTTTAAAGAAAAATATATATAATAATAATATATTTATAATAATAATATTTTAAATCCTGAAATAAAATATAATAATAAGCAAAATGAATTAAATAAATATTATGATACAAAAATTATATTAACATGTGATAAACAAATATATTAACATGTGATACACAAATATATTACCAGGCCATGCGATATACAAAATTTATATTTATTAATTATAATACACCATATATATATATTAACATGTGATACGTAAATATGACTGAAATAGAAATAGAACATCTCAAACTATAAATTTTTAAATATGCATATACATATTAAAATAATGACTAAATTTAAGTAAACGTAAAATTCAACATACAAATCAAGAATTAAAATAAAAAACTTAAATAAAAACACGGTCATAAATAAGAGACCTACACCTAAATAATCTAACAAAATTACAACTAAAATATAAAATTGAGAAAATAACGAAATTAATATAAGCAGACTAAATTAGAAAGCAATCATGAAGGTGACTAATTTATAAAAGGGAGCTCCAGTTTCGGGGACTATAATTTAATTTACGCAAAAAAATTAATATGAAACCTAAATTTACTAAACCTAAACTAAACTCACGCACACAACACTCACACAAGCACAGCCCCCTTCTTCCCTTCTTCTACTCTGTCGACAAAAAACAACTTCCATGGCCTAAACCAGAGCCACCGGTCCGGCCACCACATCGTGGTGGCCACGCTACGCTACTCTACGATCTAACTCTAAACTTGAGGCCTAAACCTTTAGAGAACCAGACGAAACCATGATCAAATCTAAAACCCCAAAACCATGCTCGAATCCAAAGCCCCCTCTTTTCTCTTAAACCATGCGACCACCGTGACCTGGTGGTCATCTCTGCTGCAAACCAGTGATCGAAAGACCAACCGAAGGTCTAAATGACCTTAAACACTTCTCCTCTCCTACTTTATTCTCTCAAACTCTCCCCTCTATGCTTACAGATAACTGCTGCGCCAAAGGAACCCACCGAATGGCTCCGATGAAGGTAAACGTTTTGCTCTCTTCCTCACCTTAATTTATTCTATTTTGGTTCGAAAGGCTTGATTTCTTTGGGTACCCGAATGGTTGCTGATGACGACGGGTTTTGATTGGTAATGGTTTTTGGATCGAATATATTCCTAATATTTTGGTGTATGGTGATAGTTTTTCAGTTTGAATGCTCTCGATTTTACGTTTCTCAGTTTTTTATTTGATTTTTCTTTCCTCACTCTGGCCAGGTAACCATCGAGACCCCCATGGCTTCTCACTGTTCACGGGCTCCAAGAACAATCTCCCCTCCTATCGAGACTCAACAACAGAATAATTCACTTCTTATCCCTTATGCTAAGCTTCATTTTTTTTTTACTTTCAATTTATTCATAAACACATATACACAAAATAAAACTTCCAGTTAAAATGAAAACATAATACCTTAACAGAAAAATATTTTTTTGATTGATAGGTTGTTTCTTTTTACTTTACACAGCTTCGGAAGAAAGAAGGGAAAAATCCTTCATTTGCATAATAACACAAGCACACACAAAAAAATGGGGGGAAAAAACCCCGAAGAAGAATACCTTGAAAATATGGAATTATATTGCTTTCTCTGTTTTTGAATTCTGAAATTACACTTTTTTTCTTTCGTATTCATTTCCCTCTTTTCGAATGATTTTCCCAAAAGAAAGGCCCACGATTTAGTCTCTGCCCCCTGTCTGTTAAAGAGCCCCTTTGTTTTCGTGTTTTCTGCTTGCTCCCCCAGTCTGTTGAATCTCTCTGTTCTTTTATGGTTGCTTGCAGTGGTCTTTCCACTGAAGCCTTGTTTAGTGGAGGATTAGGTTTCCTTTTTTTTTTATTGTTTTAGTGGGATTTGGGTGAATGGCTGATTTGGTATTATTTGCAGATGGATGATGACTCAATGATGACGATGGTGGTCTCGGCAATCGGTTGGAGTGCTGACGTGGTGGCTCAGTGGTGGCGACTGGTTTACTGTTGCGGCTGGATGTCACTTTAGGGTAAAACCCTAATATTCCCTTCAATGAGTACTTGGACTCTTCTGACCTAGGTGAATATGGTGATAGTGATTACTCTTCATATGTATGTAGGGAATATTCTGGGACACGAACAATAGAGATATGATCTAAATTGTGATATCCTAACATGGGTACATGGCATGAGATTTGAATATTGTCATCAATTCAAAGAGACTGAAGAAGTATTTTGTGGTAAAAGGTGTGAACTTGAGGTTCGTGAAGAATAAAAGTAAGAGAACAAGGGTATGTTATAAAGGTGATTGTCCTTGGCAAATATTTGATAGTTATGACAGTCGAGTTGATTGTTATGTTGTGAATACATATCATCTTGTGCATAATTGTTATAGGAGTAATAAGCATACAATACTATCATGTAAGATGTTGCAGTAAATATTCAGAGATAGGATATTGATGGAACCAAAATTGAAGATATCAACATTGAAGGAAATGTGCAAAACATAACTTGGTGGTTATACAACATATAATATGTGTTAAAGAGATAGATCTGCCATTTTGAAAGTGATGCATGGTGCTTATGTAGAAGAGTTTGCTAGTCTTTGGGGGTATGTTGCAAAGTTTCTACATTCGAATCCTAGCAATACAATTACAATTCAAGTGGACAAGATAATTCTGGAGTGGCAAGATTCCATAGGATGTATGTTTATCTACATGCACTGAAGCAAGGGTTGAAAGAAAGTTGTAGACCTTTTATAGGCGTTGATGGATACTTTCTAAAATTTGTGATAAAGGGAATACTATTATTAGTTGTTGGTAGAGATGAAAATAACCAGATGTTTCAGGTTGCATCGGTAGTCGTTGAAAGTGAAGGTAAAGAATCATGGCGATGGATTTTAAAGAAACTAATGGTCAATTTAGAGTATCTTAACGGCAGTGGACTTAAACTAATGTCAGTCATGCAAAAGGTTGTACATTATTATGTTCCTTTATTATTGTCGAATTATGTCTTTTAGTGAGTACTGATGCATTTTTGTATTGTTTTGTAGGGTCTTATACCAGTCCTAAGGGAATCATCCCCCGATGTTGATCATAGGATTTGTGTAAGGCACGTCTATGCATCTTGGCATAAGAAATGGAAAGGTATAAATAGAAAGTTCAATTCTGGAACACGGTCAGAGCATCTTTTGTAGAAGAATTTGACAAGCAGTTGAAAAATTATAAGATTTGTGGCATGGGTCCTCAAATGACCTTTTAGATACCCGGTGGAGCATTGGTCGAAGGCTTACTTTAAAGGCTCATGCAAATGTAATGTGGTGGATAATAACATGGTCATAGCTTTTAATGAATGGAGAGTGGAAGCAAGATGCAAGCCTATCATCAGCATGCTTGAGAATATTAGGGTCATGGCAATGACTAGGATGGATACTAAAAGAACTTGAGTAGAAAAGTGGAGAACCAACATTTAACTAAGAGCTCTTGAGAATATGGAAAGGAACATGGACATTTCAACTCAATGTAGGCTTATATGGAATGGTGATGGAGGGTTTGAGGTTATTCATTTATATAACCAACATGTGGTTGATTTAAAGAAGTTGACATGCACTTCTAGGGAATGGGAACTCGGTGGGATTCCATGTTGTCATGACATATGTGCAATGTATCAAGAGTCCAACCTGAAGATTATGTTTTTGAATGGTATAGTAAGGAGAAGTACGTTGCAAGCTACAAACATGTCCTGCAACCTATGAGAGGAAAAAATTATGGCCCAAAAATCTTGCCCCGATTAACCCTCCCATTGTAAAGGTCCAACCTAGAAGGCTCAAGAAAAAAAAAGAAAATATAAATATGAGCCCACAAAACAAACATTTGGGAAAAACTCAAGATCCAGCCTAAAAATAAGATGTGGTCATTGTAAAAAATTTGGCCAAAACAAGCAAAGTTGTCCAAAAAAAAACAATGATGCTTCAGGTCAGGTAAACATGTGCTTTAATCTTTGCTCGAAATTATGGTTAGATAGATTTTGTATCCACTAACTTTTTATGTAATTACAGGTGAATACAAATGCAGCCACTTCAACTAATAAATCAACAACATCGACTAAGAAGTCAACCACATCGAAGAAACTAACCACATCGAATTCTACTAACAAGAATGGTGATGGACCGTCTAGAAAAAGGAAAAGATAAATTGGTATTGTTATTTATACCAATATGAACATTGGTGAAGAAATATTTAATGTGAGTATTTCATATGTTTTCCTTCTCTCAATTTGAATTTTTTATGTTAAATAGTTGTTTGAGTAAGTTGTTTATATTTGGTATAATTCTGTTAGTTAATTATTTGTCTGAGATTGTGGAAATGATCTTGTCTGGAATTGTGGAAATTAGCTTGTTGAAATTTATAAACATATCTATAAAATGATCTTGTCTGGAATTGTGAAAATTAGCTTGTTGAAAACTATGAACATATATGTGAAATGATATTCTCTTAGAATTGTAAAAATTAAATTGTTGAAATATGTGAACATCTATCAACATATCTTGTCTTGAATTGTGACATTAGCTTGTGAAAATTATTTTGGAGAAAGTGGAAATTCAATTGTTGATATATGTGAAATTTATTTGCAGCATGGCTTATTGAGTGAAAGGGTTTTAACTGCCCCTACTAATGCCCCCAATTTTAGCATACATGGAAGGGTGCTGGATTGAATTAGAAAGGGAAGAAGGCTGTCACTATTAGGCAATTTGAGCAAGAACATTCGGATGCCTCTCTTAATCATCCTGGAATTGGAATGACAAAGGAATGCTTGGTGTCAACTTTTTTCTTTTGGTCTGTTTTGTATGAAACAAGCAGACCTTTTGTTTTGTATAAAACAAGCTAGTCTTTCATTTTACATGTAACAAGTTGGTTGATGAAACTCGTATTCTTGTCCAAACAAACAGCATTTTTCCAATTATGTCTTTAAGTTGTGTTGTGAACTTTTATCAGATATATTTATTGGGAAGGCCAATTTTTTTGTAACTGCAATTGTAGCATTTTTCCTCACTTTGAAATTAACTATAACTTATATTAGATTAATTCAACATATTTGAATAATACTAAGCTGAAAATACAAGTTGACATATTTCTTAATCCATTCTAACATCGGTCGATAAACTAAAAACCACTAAACAATAAACAATAAACCTCAATGGTTAAACATTAACCCATAAACATAAATTCTTAGACGTTTAACCCATAAACACCCATACAACTACTAAACAAATTATCCAAGAAAATATCATCCCATTTCGATACAAATTTCTCTTCCTCCTAAATTTATGATCATCTTCTACTTCAGCATACAATTGCTTTTGGACCGAATTGATTTGAAACTTTAGTTCTTAAATTGAGAAACGATCATTAGATTGTAACAATTTTTTTAAGTCCTCATTTTCCTTTCGCAGCTCGTAAATTACGAATTTCGCTCTTTCGGATATGTGTACATCATACCATTTGAAGAACCTACAATATACACTCTTAAAATTAGGGCAGTTAAAAATCTTCTACCTGCATTTTTCCTTTTCCAAGTTGTCCACATAGGGCACTTCAATCCATATTTACAATACACAACATTTCCATCGTATTCCCACAAGAAAGACGAATGAACATTGCTTCCACGACTGTTTTCAGTTGACGAGCTCGTAAAATTAACCATAGTGTTTATACATTATGGCAAAATATTTAAATATTTTGAGAAAATAAAAAAAAAACATTTAGGGTTTTCAAATATTTCATTCAAACTAAAGTCTCATTCAAGAAAATCATAAAAATCGAAAAACATGAGATGAGAACATATTCGAGATTTTGAGATTAAAGAGTGTTTTAACATTGAAGGTCCAATAGATTAGAGATGTCCAACGGTTAGAGGTGACCAAAGGAGTTGCTTCTTTTCAACACCACGATGGGGGGCATGAATTTTGGGAAAGCAGGAGGAAAACATCAATTTAGGTTTTTAAAAACTAAAAATCGTGTTTAGACCTTTTTTTTAAAATGGTTTTCTTTTCACCTAAGCTCACATTAAACACAATCCGTGCCCAGTCAACATTAAACGGGTGAGGTGGGCAAGTTAACGTGTCACGTCAGCCGAAAATAATAGATCTGTTGGTCAACGACGGAATCCGTTGGTCAAAGGATCACATTGAGATTTTTTTTAAGTTTGAGGGCCACATTGATCGAAAAAATGACAAGGGCCAAACTAGTTTTTTTTTTAAGTAGAGGGACTTGGGATGGATTTTTGCTTTTAAGATTAATTAAAACTTCATTAAGGTAATAGATGTTCTTTTAGATATAAATACTTTTAATATATACTTTTAAAAGACATTATTTCAGTTACGATAATAATTATTTTGACCCTAGATTAAATAAATTAAAATGTTAGTAATTAAATTAATTATATGAATAATTTTGATTTGAGTAGACATAATATATAGAGTATAATCTATTAAAGTAAATTTATTTTAAAAATTTATAACATATTAATTAAATTATGGTAAATTACATCATTCCTCACTGAATTTTAATATCTCTCCTATTTTACTCTCTACACTTTTAATTTTTTCAATTAACTCACTCAATTCTAAACATTAAGTTTTTTTTGTCACTCAACCGTTTTCTCATTAACAAGGTTATTACATGACTTATTTTAATAATAAAACATGTCACATAGGATTTACAATTTAAAAAAAAATCTTAATTTCTACTCTCAAACTCTTGAAACCCTAAATTCAAGCCCCAAATCTCAAATCATCATTCCTCCCCCTTTCAAAGACCCAAATTTTAATGTGCCTGCTTTGAATTCATTTTCTTATTCTAATATCATAAAGCAGTGGTTTCATTTGATTACTGCCTGGGACAACCCTAATCTGATATTAATTCCAACTCATCCGTTTTTTTTTATAGAAGCGGCATGTGAGTAATAATCTAAACTTAGTCTCAATTTTTGAAATTTAATTTCCTAAACCATTTGGTTCTTCATTGGATTCAAAGAATAAAAAAATTGCTTGTGATTTATGTTGGTAATTCTTTTTTAGGGCTGCGAACAACCCACATTCTGAGAAAGAGCAGTGAATGTATAAGCGTCACATGAAGGCGCTGCCACGTAGGGTAAGGATGAGGGGTTGTAATTTAGAATTTAGAATTTGGGTCATTTGGGGTGATTAAAAGAATACTAAATTTGCATTCAAAATTGTGAGACGTAAAATTTGAGAAACATTGACCTCTGACGACGACGACCAACGGTGGTCTAAATGACACTCTGTATAGCTATTGAAATTTGAGTTTATTTAAGTTGATGAGAGAGAGAGAGAATATGAAAAAGAACGAGGAGGAAGAAGAAAGAATGAAAGTGGAGAAATTTAAATTATTTTATTTTTATCTATTTTTTAATGATTAAAAAATATTTATTTAATCCATATCATAACTTCGTTAAAAAGTTAATGGTGGAGTGACTAAAAAAATTCAATGTACAAAGTTGACTAAGTTAATTAAAAAAATTAAAGTACAGTGAGAAAAATAGAATAGACAATAAAGTTTAGTGAGGAGTTTTGTAATTTACCCATTAGATAAATATAATATTATCAAAAACAGATATACTATTATTTATTATTACAAAAAAGTGTCACATCAAGAGAAAGGAATTAATGGCAATATAATATAATGCAAACCCGGCAGCCGCCCCTCACTCCTCGACCTAATCTAACGTTTTTATCAATAGGGGTGTTCATTCGGTTAAAATGATGGCCGATCGAACCGAAATACCTTTAATCGAATTAATCAAATTTTTTTTCTTTAACCGTTAATCGAACCAAATTTTTTTTGAAAGTATTAATCGAATAAATTTCGGTTAATTCAGTTAATTTTCAAATTAACCGATTTTTTTTAGAATTTTAGAATTTAATATTTTTTTTAATTAAAAAATAATTTACAATTAATTTAAATAATATCTAATTAATTTGATTCAAACATTTGCATTTAGTTTTGTTTCAAACATTTGCATTTATCCACTACCCTACAATTCTACAAGATACACAATGAAGAAAGACCTAATGCAACATAGGAATTTCTTTACTTAATCCTAACAAGCTATACTTTCCTTTTGTCCTATCTAGCGTCAGTAGTTAAGGTTCTTAAATATTCCTCCAGCAACAATCCGTATGGTCAGACCAAGATACCACCTTTCAGGTACTGCCTCTATTTAGCTCCATTTCCATATGAATTCATGCAAATGGTTGGAAAAACAATTCTTGGGGGAAACAATGGCTACACGTACAAATTATAAACCATCAAAGAAACCAATTCTTTTGTTCTTAACTTGAAATGTGGGAGGTAACACCAGATACATGTATCGAGATCCCGGATGTTAGTGTGGCGAAGAAACTAATGCGCCAACATGTGCGCAACCTTCTCCGTGTTCTCAGCCCAAGAGAGAGGAAGATAATTAGGCTATAGTTTGGTATCAAAGAGAGTAGAGAGAATTCTGTCCGAGGTTGGAAACATGCTCGGATTGTCGAAGGAAAGGGTGAGGCAGCTGGAGAGCAAGGCATTATACAAGCTAAAGCAATGCCTCGTCGAACAGGGACTTGTTACATATGCAGATTTGGTTACTTAGGTATATATAGAGATACATACATATTTGTTTTGGGTTGAAATGTTCATCCGAGGGCATGAATTAATTTTGTTGTTAGCTAAAGAATAGCCTATATAACCTGATTTAGTAATGCTTTTTAGAATGTAATGCTGCTGCCTCACATCCTCACCCATGCTCCACTCCACTATCACTTTTGCCCATGCTCCACCTGCCCATACCTTACACAAATCAAGGCAGAAAATAATTGATATCTGAGGAGCACATGAAGGAAGCGGGGAGCAACATATCATGGGGTTAAAAAAATATTAAAAAATATTTAAGGGTTAATTCGGTTAATTAACCGATTTCGAACCGAATTAACCGTTAACCGAATATCCAAAAAATCATTAACCGTTAACCGACCAAACTAATTTGGTGGCCAATCGAATTAACCGAACTAATTCGGTTCGGTCGGTTAACTAATTAGCTCGAAAATTTGAACACCCCTATTTATCAATTATCCCCATCCTTCTTTTCGGGCCTCACATTACACTTTATCATTACGAGTAAATTACATAAATAACCTCTTTCGTTTAAGTTTTATAATTTTTTTCACTGAATTCAAAAGATATAGTATTTAATCATTTTCATTTTATTTTAATTAAGTTTTAATTATTTTCATTTCGTTTTAATTAAGATGTGATCACTAAAAATTAATGATCATTGAACCTTTAACGGTTTACTAACGTGGCATAACGACCTTTAACGGTTTGCTAATATGGAACAGTAATATATAAAATTAGAATTACATCATTTTCATGTAGATAATACGCAAATTAAGTTTTAGTTACTTTCTTTTCATATTTGTACACTATTGGTCAATTATGTTATTATTTTATTAAGTTTTTGTCGCTTACGCTATTGTTTTATTAAGTTTTGATCATGTGGACATTCCATGTCATTAGTTTGATGTCGTGACACGTTAATAAAATGACTTAATTTTTATTTTAACCACTACACTTTAGATAAAATTTTGATTATGGATCTTTTTGTAAATCCAAATTAGTTTAGGGATAATATTTCAATTTGTCCATTTTTAATAGGTTTTCTTCTCAACCTCATTATTGTTCATCTTCTTCCCGCTTCTTCTTCAAACATCTCTGCTCCATTGCTTCATTTCATCATTTGCCAAGGACTCATGCTACATTTCAAGAATAACGAAAGATTTCCAACTTCCGGTAACAAATAATAACACTACAAGTTTAGGAAAAACAATGAGAGAATGTGCATCTAGAGCTAAAATGAAGATGAGAAATCTTAGTTATACAAACTAAAATTAAATTTTCAAAAATTGAGATTCCAGAATGCCAAATCCA